TGGTTCCAGACCCAATATGTTTAATAATAAATAAATAATTTTTGTGTAGTAATAATTTATGTATTTTGTGAATCTACTAACCCCTAGTTTTTAAGTGTACTAACAAAATGGGTGTACTTACCTGAATAATGAAATAAATAATAATAATAATAATAACACTGATTAATTTTAACTTGCATTGTACCTTATTGCATAAAACGTCTCGGGCGACGAGTGACATGCAATTTTATGACGTATGCCAATTAAAACCAAGAAAACTGACGAGAAACAAGGTCAACTTTTGGATGTGTCCGGAATCGCAATAAAATATAATAAGCTATTAGCTAATCAGCTACGTGACTTTCAATGTTTAAGTTATAGTAAAATAATTTTTTCCGCGCAGATGGGGTGTTGCGCGGGCGCAACGCCATTATCGATAACAACAAAATTCAGGATTGGCTCCGCCAACACGGGATTGAGTTTAGTGATAGTGAGCTCAAGCCGGAACTATTACAAAAGGTATTTCAGATTTTATTATTTAAAGTTTGCGATACATTTCTCTTAAGTATTTAGTTGAATATACAAACAACATTATATTTACAGGTGCAACAGAACCGACCAGAAAAAACATGCAAATTGGTTCAGTTAGCTTTGGAGTCAGGACACGAAGTGATTCGCTTACCACCTTACCATTGCCAATATAACCCAATTGAGTTGGTATGGGCTCAAGCAAAAAATGATGTTGCCACCAAAAACAGCACTTTTAAAATTGCAGACGTCGAAGTGTTACTGCATGAAGCAAATTTAAACGTTTCGCAAAAGAACTGGGAAGATTTTGTGGAGCATGCAGAAAAACTCCAAGAGGAAGACTTGAAGAAATCTCATCTGGCAGAAGATATCGTAATTCATGTGGATGACGATGACTGTGATGATTCTGATGTAGAATTTTAATGTAAATAGTTTTAGATTTAATTTTAGATATGTTAATATCTTTATATTTATTTTTAATACACTCAGCGTCACAAAAATCGCACCTCTGTGAGTTTGCGCGAAAAATGGCTGTAATGGCTAGAAACGAATTATATTTATATAAATATTGGTATGTTTGAAATGGGTATTTGAATAGCTTTACATTATTAATAAAAAAATCATGAAATCATTAAAACATTTATCATTATAGAGCGTCAAAAATAAACACTGTCAAATGCTCGTTAGTAAGGACGCTGGTTACACCACTTAAAAAGGGTATAAAAGGGTGGATCTGGATGAAATATGGGCGCCTGCGCCCTCTTTTCCCAAAAGAGGGTCGCTCACGATAAGGCACAATACAGCTTAATCAGCCGGTTGCCTGTCCCCAAAGGCGGTTTTTAGAGAGTATCACTTAGGGTCCACGGTAGGCCAGTGAGTCCCTCATAACCACGATAGACCGGCTATCGTGGTATGCGTAATGCATTTTCCGCCTCCCTACGTATAGGGTAGCCCTTAAATTGCTTCGGGCGCAAAAAAAAATGAAATATGGGTCAGTCGTAATTTAGACTTTGCAGTGAACACACGTGAACAAGTAACCCAAGTAAGAACAAGTAAAGATGGACACCAGCTCTGAAGAAGCCGCTCAAGTGATTGCCCTATTGCAGTCGGGGATGCGGCAGTGTGACGTTGCTCGACAGTTGAACCTGTCCCGTTTTTCAGTTCGACGGGTGTTCCAACGTTTTCAGCAGACTGGTGGTTATGTTAGAAAACCGGGATTTGGAAGAAAACGGTGCACATCAGAAAGAGAAGACCGTTTCATCGTTACATCTTTACGAAACCGTTTTACAAATGCTGTTGAGTTGCAACAACAGCTTCGATCAACTCGGAGAACATCTGTGAGTGTTTCTACGATAAGAAGAAGGTTACACGAAAAGAGTTTAACAGCCCATAGACCTGCTAAAGGTCCAAAACTTACTGCACAGCATTGCAGAGATCGCCTAGAGTTTGCTCGCAATCATTGCGAGTGGACTCTAGAACAGTGGCGGACCGTACTTTTCTCTGATGAGACGCGGGTCTGTCTCTTCTGCAATGACAGACGTAGAAGGGTCTACAGAAGACAGGGGGAGAGGTTCACACAACCCTGCTTCGAAGAATCCGTCGAATACGGGGGTGGCTCGTGTATGTTTTGGGGCCGCATTTCCGTCGACGGGAAAACGGAACTTGTGTGCGTTTCCCGGACTCGGGGTGGCCGTGGGCAAGGGTCATTAAATGCTGGTAGGTACATTACTGAAATCCTGGAGAAACATGTGGTCCCGTATGCTAGTTATGTCGGTGATGGATTCATGTTAATGCATGATAATGCTCGTTGCCACACCGCGGCTATTGTACGGGATTATTTACAGGAGGTCGATATCCCTGTTATGCATTGGCCAGCACGAAGTCCAGACCTTAACCCAATAGAACATCTCTGGGATGACCTAAAACGGCGCGTGCGAGCTCGAGATCCAGCTCCAACCACTCTTCAAGAGCTCCAAGATGCGGTACTTGAAGAGTGGGAACAAATACCCCAAGAGGCTGTTGCGACCCTTGTAAGGTCCATCGAGATCATCATCAGATCGCATGGAAGCTGTTATCAAGGCAAGGGGGGGGGGTAACACTAGGTTTTAAGAACTTTTTTGTATTTATTAAGTTTTTTTTAAATTATTAATTTTCAAATTTGTACATACCCTGTCTTTTTCTTTAATTTCTCTTTCGTCTCGTTATAAAAGTAAAATTCAATTGAAATTCCTGAAAGCTAATGAAATTACCTTTCGAATGATACCCTCAAACCACAACATTGCCATTGGCCTGTTGTGTTAAAATAGTATTTAAATTATTTTTTTCGGATGTGCGATTTTTTTGACGCCGTGTGTATAACTTGTTACATTCCAAACATTTGTACTTATAGTTCTTTTAATACATAGATACCTAACTAATAATTTATTTTAAATCATTATTATTCTTATTATATGACAAAATTATATGACAAAACTAAATACACTATCAATAACGCTTATCGACAACAATAATGCGCATCACTATGCTCGCCCCTAAAGCCCGTGAGTAGGAGAGAGGGAAATAATCCGACGATTTATGACCTAAACTGCACGGACAAAATAATTCTAGTATAGTTTGAAGTAACGTCGCATGCTTAATTCCCTTTAAGGGGAAATATAACCTCAAATGGCTTAGCAAGATCCTCCGTTATACCGAAAATATTGCAGCATTAATTTTGAAATAAATATATGGTAAAGTTGAGGATTAATGTTAACTTTTCTCGATAGAAAAAAAATCCAAAGTTACCTCCAAACTGAACAATAAACCGCTGTTGTTCATAAAATACTTTAAATAAGATCATGAAACTTTGCCTACTAACTGAACTAACTATAAAGCAGTGCTTATGTTATTTACTTTTTTCAAATACCATTATTTTCACTGTAAAAAGAAATTACCTAAACTATCAGCGTCTTGAAGCTTGATTCCTGCCGCCCGTTTAGTATCGCATCGGCTTTTGAAGGGGGAAGTTGTGTCGCTTACGATCAGAATACACGCAACAGGACGACGTAAAATTAAAATGGGAAATAACCGTAATAAAAATAAGAAGCGACTGTGTTGGCGTTCAGAAACAGGCATAAATATGATAAACCTAATGAAATAAGTATCCAACGACCTATCTACTTACAGTATTAGTGTTTACAAACATATCGGTACATAGCATACGACGCCCCTTTTTTCCCCTTAAGTAATACTTCCATGTTTTATTTGCGTTCACTAGACTTAGCGGACGATGCGACGTGGGCATTTTAGGGATCCCGTGTATACCGCACACGAGCGAGTGAAGCAAGCATGTTGTGCTATCACACAAATATTTATAGTGTTTAGTATTAAGTTTTTATTTCGGATCTAAATAACCTGTAGTACATAGTTTTCACGCACCTCATTCTCAGGATTGCTGCTTCTACATTTTAAGTTAGTTTCTATTTGATTACTACATGATTATGGAGTACACATCATACACACATAATAGTTACACGTAGTTTTTGTCGTAGTTACTCCAAAATTTTACAGAAGGAGCCAATCAGTTTGCAACATTACAAATATTAGTAACGATTATCTTAGTGTTTATAAATCAGTAATACAGTGCAAAACACTTCGTTATTTCGATATAAGGATGTCAAAGAAAAGAAAGCACTTCATTCCTTTTTTTATTGGGCTAAGGTATTTCCAAATAAAAAGTCATCAATATATAATATTCAATATGCACAGTTACATCTTTATACATGTTAATAATATAGTACATAACAAATAAATAATAAATAGTACCAAATTTTAGGATTCTTCTATTAATAAAATTATTATAGTTCGGTGTCAGAAGTATGATACACAGTGACTTGACTAAGTGCCAATTTGTAAAGTGAAACTTTGTCATAGTGAGAAGAATAATATACAGCATCTAATTGTAACCTATTTGTCAGAAAGTCAATTATTACATAGTTAGACATGGCTTTATTCTTTGTTAAATTTCTTATAAAAACAATTATCTGTTTATTATCATCACCGCCCAACTAACTTAACAGTAAACAATATAGTATGGCATTATATGGTTTGATAGATTGATTTGAATTACATTTTCTTTTAGAAATAAACAACTGCAAAATAAAAAGCAGTTTTAACTTACTTATTAATAATTGTCAATATCAAAACATTTATCCTATAGATTATTGCTTAATAATATATATATTCAGTAGCTTGTGTAATGAAATTAATTACATTATTCAGTACAAAATGCCACGTATGATTAAAGATAATGTCCATAAACAGTTAACTGCAATTTTGTGGATAGTCTTTTGAGCACATAATATTATAATCTGTCATTATCACAAGTCTTTGTAGTAAGAAAGGCCGGCCGAAGCACATGGGTTCTCATACTGACTGAATTACTGACATGTACAGCCAGTACTGTGTTACATCACAGATCATATCGGCGTGTCGCCGTCAGCCAAATCATTCAACTACCAATTAGCCATTCCAGGCTTATTGAGAGTCATGAAGTATATTTGACAAGAAGACCCACCTTTGGCAGAGGAAAAGAATACTTTGTCATTACGCTCACACAGAAATTTAAGTCGTTGTGCTTTTTTGTGCATGAACACACCGTCCAGGTGTCCACTTTCTACCGAGCGTATTTCTATTGCTTTATTGCCCCATCCCATTATTTGACCTGTGCCAATGTATGCAACCGAAGTTGGCATTTCACCCCACTGTAAAGAAAAAATAGTATTGTAAGTGTACCTTTTTTCTTACAAATGATTTCATGATGATGTAATTAAGTTAAATTTACCTGAAGAACTATATTCTTGCTAATTCGTCCATTAGTATTAACATAAACACCCTCATTATCGTAACATAGTAGTAGTTGCACACCATTGGAATTTGGCAGTGGAACAATGCAGTGAGGAATGATAGCTCCCTGTGTCTGTAAAGAAATATATATATTCATATGAGCGGCGCAAATAAAGAAAGGAGTTTATAACAGAACCACTTGTACTTGTTGTACTGTACAACCTATTCGCTACCCTCATCGACATCAAAATGATAGCCACGTAGTACATTGCGTCTTATTAATTAATATTTCGTATAAACTGGTGCGAAGAATAAAATTTCGTGTAATTATAGCTCGAAAAACAGACAACTGATGCGGAAAATGGGGGGGAGGGGGGAAGCCTCATACCAATAAGCGAAATGTAGGATGGTTTGGTAACACATTTAGAAAAAGTAGGGATGATATGATGATGATGATGATGAAGACATATCCAAGTTATTCGTTGATTTTTGCATGTAGTATAGACAAGAATAATGGTGCCAGTGAGAGAGCATGATTAATACAGATCATTAGGATTTGGTTTTTGAAACTGGTTCTAATAATAATAAAAAAGAAAATATGATTAGGATTGTAGAACATTTTCTTATAAACTGATCGCGAATTAAGATTAATTCAAGTACTTACATGTTTTGGAATATAAATATCATAAACACTTGCTGTATCAAGATCGACAGCATGGAATCCATCTGCTGACCCATAGATAACTTTCAGTCTCGTGCCTTCTTCAATTGTCAGATCAACTAATAAAGGCCTAAAATGAATACATTTTAATTAAAAGTTTTTCATGCAGTGGAAAATCTATCATTCCATAGGTGTTTACACAATCAATTACGGAAATCTTGCAGTATCCGACAACTGGTAGAATTTTTTTCACATAAATATACACCAGACCTACAATATACATGATAATCAAAGACAATAACACGAAAAGGATGCAAAAAATGTCTTATTATATTTATTATTTCTTCACATATCATGCTTAAGCCGATTCCGCGTAGATAAATGTGGGGCAAGAGCTTATGCACTCAACTGTAATCAGTTACAGTCCAGTCCAGTTGCAGATTCCTCAGAACGTCCGTAGACTTTTTTATAGAATAGGATAACAAACGAGCACACAGTCCACGTGATGGTAAGACAGTATCTAGTCTTTTTTATAGCATAGGGTGACTAACGAACACAGAGTCCACCTGTTTGTAAGTGGTTGCTGTGGCCCATAGACATCTACATCTATCCTCGATTACGAATCATAATGCAGATGCGTTGTCACAAAACTGGCCCATATACATCTACATTTATCGTCGATTAAGAATCAAAATGCAGATGCGTTGTCACCCGTGAGGACTAAGATGGAATGCCTCGTTTCCAGTAAAAACGGTCTCCGGTTCTCTACACTAACCATACGAAACAGCAGCATTGAGCTGATTTTTTACGTTGGTATTCTGCGAGAGCGTGGTCCTACCCCGATCTAGCCTACCCATTCGCGCTAGAACTATGTAAGTTGCAACGTGGCTCCACCACGTAAGAAACTTGTACGTAATCCTGAACTTGGGTAAATAAGTAGATTATATTTACCGTGTTTCCATTCACATCTCACTGTATTCATATGGTTGATGTCGAAATTATTGTTTTGTCGTCGGTACTAAATAAGTCTGCAAAATTTTAGAAAATTCCTACGTCTAGAAGTGGGCGAAAATTGGAACATGAAATTACATTACATACATATATAGATACAGGTTAAGTTAATATAGTGTGTGAAAACTTAAATAATAATCATTTAGAATTAGAGGATTTTATCGTGTTCATAAAATTATTGTATTGACATCATTTCTCAATACATCTACAAAATTTCAGATTTTTCAGATGTCTGAAAGTGAACTGAAGTTGGTTGGTCTATAAACATGTCATGTGGTCAACCCTTAAACATGTTCCAATGTTTATGGGGGACATATAACAAAAAAAGAATATGCCAACTGTGTGCTGGTTGTAGAAGGTATATATGTATTGGGTTTGTGATTTTGTGTAGGCGATCTAGCAAGATGGTCACTAATCTCTTTTTAACTTCCCGCTAAGAAAAATGACAATTTTTCAGAAATCGGGAAGTTATTGTCTTTACGCCATTTTTCGAAAATTGAGTTTTCATCAAACCTTGAATTGAACAGCTTGACCGATTGAAATGAAATAAGCAGATTTCCATCAAACTTAGATGTCCTATGAATTTTAACTAATTCGGACCGGTAGATTTTGAGAAATCTCGAAAATAGAAATCATAATTTAATATATAAAAATAATATATAATAATTTTCAATCTAAACGCAGAAAGCAGATGTTCCAAAATGGGACAGGTCTATGTACACTACCTAAAAAAAAAAAAAAAAAAAGAAAAAAAAGAGAAACTCTGTAAAAATTGGGAAAAATACAGATAATTCATTTAAATGTATCCTGTAGTGCTAAACAACTGATATTTATCGACTTTCAACATGGCGTCGCACCGATTTAGTTACTCTGTGCTTATAGACGATGACAATAAACCATAAAGCGACCGTTGATCATAGAAAGAAAATTTATATTACACTAGATCAGTAATAACCACACCAAAGCGTTGCCATTGCACATATGACCACAGCCATATGCCTAGCTAACGTCAGTTCAGTGTTCAATGTGACGCCGACAGAGTTGAGTCGCGACAAAAAATGGGTAAATGCGTAGTGAAGGAATGCTATTCAAGGTCACAAAAACGTACATAATAAATCAAGCGGAATCACTTTCAACACAAAATTTTTAGTTCTTGTTTTCATATAAACGTAAAAAAACTCAAATAATTAAATAAAATTATCGAATATTGCCATTTAGGTTCAATGTTGCCACTTTTCCGCATTTGTGATTATCTTACATTAGTGGGAGACTATATAATTAATGGAGTAAGTTAATTTGTTACCTCTGATTTTAAATATTTTGGAAGTTATAATAAAAACTACGTTTTAACTTTCATACAAAATAATTAATTATTTTATTTTAGTTTATTCATGAATTATCTATTAAATATATTTATTTTATTACCTATTTTATATTGATTGATTTATTAGTACAATAAAAATACTTATAAAAAATATTTTTTATTTCATCATTATGTTTACTTCTATTCATCTGATAAGGTTTGTATCCTTTTTCTTTCTAAGGGGACGCAATAAAGATTTTAAAATAAAATATAGTTTTTAATATAAAAACAATTACCTGCAGCTTAAAAAAACTCATTTTTATTGCGTATTTTAGGTAAAATTTCATATAGTAAGCCACACCAACCCGCCATTGCATGTTTGTGTGTCATCTTTATCTAATCTTAGCGACAATATTGTTTTCGCAACTTGTGTAAGTGAGATAGATATATGTTTATTTAAAATTGTTATTAGTTTCAAAGCTACGTCGTCGCGTTTGGATAGTGGTTACACTTTTTTCGACGCGCGGTAATGTGGTTTGCTCCTCCAGTGTTGTATAACTCAATGAAGAAAACTGTCAGTTGTCATAAGTGTCAAAAATACCTACGTAAAATAAACATGTCAAACGTCATTAATCAATAAAAATGACAGCTTACCGCCATGACGGGCATGGAGTATAGAGAGAGGTAAGGAGGAAAATCTCCCATAAGAGAATAGTTGAAAATGTAACCTTCTGTAAGCAGTAAATAACAGTTCAAAAACTCTACACAACAGCGCTCGAGTAGCTACAGGGTATGTTAAATCGCCGTAAAATACGTTGAGAGTGGTTTTGAAAATAAAATTTTTGAAAGCAATAAAATAATTATTGTAAAAAAAATTATGGCGAAAGCCTGTGCAGTAAAAAAAATGTAAAAAGTTCTTTAAAATTTAGACGGGTTTTTGTTGTGTTGCAATTTCAAGTTTAATTTCCTGTGCTTAGCCAGCAAACGAAAGTTTCACTCTGTCACCTCTTACGACACCCACTGGATATGCGAGTAGTAGAGTATCTACATGACAGTGGTGAAGAACTATATAAACCTGGTATGCTTCTAAACATTGTATTGCCAACTAGTAGTTAAAATTCTTCACAGGCCTAACAGATTAGACTACAAATTTATAAGTGTGGAAAACAAATTCTTCATTTATTAGTTCCTAGCAACGATTAAATAAAAATGATACTGCAGGATTTCGTCTGGTGACGAGAAAAAAAGAAACATCGTCTAATGAGACATTTCGTGTCTCTCTCAAGGTATCTAAAGGAATCAAATGAACATCTGCAACACCACAAGTATTGCAGGTGAGTTGCCGGCCTTTAATGAAGGTGTCTAGTCGCTTTTCTTGAAGTTCCATAAGTCGTGTCGATTCTAAAAACCGCTGGCGACAGTAAATTCAACAATGTGGCAGAATATATGTTTACCTAACTCACAGATGGGCGGAGGCAGTAGAGTCCAAGGGGGAGGCATTGGCCGTTAGTTTGGACATTGCAAAGGCCTTCGATCGGGTTTGGCACAAAGCGCTTCTTTCGAAGCTCCCTTCCTATGGGCTTCCCGAGAAATTGTGCGATTGGATCAACAGCTTTCTTGCAGATCGGGGCATCAAGGTCGTTGTAGACGGTGCAAGCTCCGATTGCAAGCCTATTAATGCTGGTGTTCCACAAGGCTGCGTGCTATCGCCAACGCTGTTTCTTCTGCATATCAATGATATGTTGCAAACCCGTAACATTCATTGCTATGCAGATGACAGCACTGGTGATGCTCTTTACACCGGCCGAGCCAATATTTCTCGGGAAAACGTCTCCGAGTGCCGGGACAAACTTGTGTCTGAAGTCGAGTCTTTGCTGAACAGTCTCGGATTGGGGGCGACTAAATCTAGTCCAGTTTAACCCCCAGAAGACACAAGTTTGCGTGTTAACCGCTAAAAAGAACCCCTTTGTCGTATCTCCTCAGTTTCAAGGCACTCCCCTTGTTGCCTCAGCCAGTATCGGAATCCTCGGCGTCGACATATCGAGTGACGTGCAGTTTCGTGGTCACTTGGAAGAGAAGGCTAAAAAGCTTGGCGTGCTCAGCAGAGCGGGACAGTATTTCATGCCGGCACACCGCCTGCAACTTTACAAAGCGCAGGTTCGGCCGCACATGGAATACTGTTCCTATCTCTGGGCTGGGGCTCCCCAGTACCAGCTCCTTCCACTTGACCGCATCCAGCGCAGAGCGGCTCGAATCGTTGACGACCGAGTGTTTTCCGATCGGCTCGATTCACTGGCACTGCGAAGAGATGTTGCATCTCTTTGCATTTTCTTTCGCATATACCATGGAGAGTGCTCTGAGGAATTGTTCGGATTAATCCCAGCCACCAAATTTCGTGAACGCACTACGCGGCAAACGTCGCGATACCATCCACATCATCTGGATGCTTGGCGGTTCACCACTGTACGTTTCAAGAGGAGTTTTCTTCCGCGTACAACCTCTCTGTGGAATAGTTTACCACCAGCGAGACCGATACGACCTGGGGACCTTCAAGAAAAGAGCGTACTCCTTTCTAAAGGGCCGGCAACGCACCTGCAATTCCCCTGGTGTTGCATTTGATCATGGGCGGCGGTAGTCACTTAACATCAGGTGAGCCGCATGCTCGTTTGCCCCCTCTTCTATAAAAAAAAATTTCTAGTACAACGCACTGTAGTGGACGGCCGACCTTCGAGATGTTGTGGATGGACTCTCTAGTTCTATAAAACTGTGCGATGGAGGAATTTGGCGGTTGGTATAAATCCAAACAATTCCTCTGAGCACTCCCCGCGGCATATGCGATAGAACATGCACAGATGAAGAATGTAGCTTCGCGAAGCTTATGAATCAAGTCGGGAAAAACTTGGTCGTCCACGAATCGAGCCACTCTTCGTTAAACGCGATCAAATGAGGGAGCTGGATGCCTCGGGCCCTCTGGCTCATCTCTACGAGAATAGTATTCTATATGACGCCGTACCTGCGCTTTTTATAAAGTTGCAAGCTACAAGCGATTGGCAGGCATTAAATACCGTCTCGATCTACTGTGTTTTCTTCCAAGTGACTGGAGAACTGTACGTCACTCGATACGTCGACGCCAAGGATTCTGATGCTGGTAATAAAGGCAGTGTCCAAAAATTGAGGAGTGACAACAAAGGGGTACATTTTAGCATCACACAAACCTGTCTTAGGGTTAAACTGGACTGGATTTAGTCGCCCCCAGCCCAACACTTCGTATAAAAAAACCTCGACTACAAACATTTTTGTTTTGGCACTCGACACGTTCCCGATAAATATTAAAACACGTTGCCAGCCCTGTCATCCGCATAACAACTAATGTTACAAGTGTGCTACTTACTTATCATTGATATGCAAAGGGAACAAGGTAGGTGAACAGTTCGCAGTCTTATGGAAGAACAGACAGTCTTAGGGGCTTGGAGTCAGAGCATGCACCATCGACTACCATATTGATGTTCTGATCTGCCAGAAAACTGGTGACCCAATTGCATAATTTTCGGGCTAATACAAAGATGGTAAATTAATAGAAATCTAAATTGGAAATTATAAGTATGATTGCCCTTACCTGTGTTGCAAATCACCAAAACTTTTAAATGCCATAAATTTGTGATATGGTTTTGGTGCCCATGCATATATTTCTATTGAATCTTTAAGAGCAATCACCAAAAATTTGATTCGCTCATATTTAACAATTCGAAAATGCACGGCACCCTGTAGCTCTCCTACATTTATCCAGCCATTTCGCCTTTCAACTTGCTGTAAAATTAAAATATATTGGATTACTGTTAAATCCATTAAAATTTAGTGTCACAAAAATATAAATAACTTTAAAATGAAAATTATGCTTACGTCACTTAGGCCATCTGTGCGTAAGATTTTAGACTTTAACCAACTAAGGTAATACACTCGAACTCTGTTCTTCTTTCCAGATACAGTTACAAGAATATTTTGTCCTTCTAATACTTCCATTTGTTGGAAGCGGCGTCGTGAGATCAATTGATAGACTTTCCCTTGACCAGAGCGATCGAGTAACATTAAACCATTTTCCGTGCCAATGAGTAAATTCACCCCTAAAACACAAATATCAATAAATATATAACGCAGTATTCTATATTTAAAGCATTTTTTCTGTATTTTGTGTCAGTAGATTTCATTCTATTTATTGACATAAAGCAGGCCCGAATCAATTCTACTTGTGGACACTTGACAATTATCTAATTCATAGAAACACTTGGGTCAAAGCACTATTGCATAAATAATAAACAATAAAGTGACAGTTACTAAAAGTATAAAATAATATTTTTCATAACTATTATATATATATATATATATATATATATATATATATATATATATATATATATATATATATATTAGCTTTATGAAGCTAGTTCGTACCATAAAGGTAAAGAATATGATAAAGTGGATAAGAGGATATTATATTGACAAAAAAAATTACCCCATAAAGCAGCACACAGTATTTCTGAATTAAATCTCTTCTTGTATTTGCGTATTTCGGGTGTGTCCGACGAAAGGTCGTGCCCAGTCGGCGTAACGTTAACATTGACGTGACTCTCGCGACGCGACGCATTGCCTCCCGATCCACCAGTGCCACTGCCCGTCGATCCCGCACCGAACCCGAATGTAAGAAACGAACGCTGCTTCTGTTGCAAGGGGGAGGAACTGTTGTTGGGAGCCCACAGAGGAGTTAGAGGGGGGAATGTTGAAGGGGGTGTGGTGAAGCTGCTCCAGATACGAATGACTTGGATGGAGTTGACTGAACGGAGGAAGGGAGAGGATGATTATGGTGGTGGGGGGGCAGGCGTGCCTCCAGCAATGGCTTGCCTATACTGTGGAAGAAAACATATCTAGTAAGTTTAAGTTGTATATTTTAAGCTTTTATATTTTCACAAATAATAACTAACGAACGTGATTTATTAATCATAGACCTTATTTTAAGTAATGATATGTTAGTCAATTCCATCTCCCAATGATTAGTCGTCATTTCAACTATGTTCGGAAAGTTATTATTGGCTTATATTATTATCTACAAATTCACAATGGCATAACTTGATATAAGAGTGAAATTTTAGCAGGCAATGACATATAAAGTTAAAAAACTATACAGTTAAACAACTTTTTGTCTCAAAAAGAGGTTTTGTGCTAATACATACAAACAAAATTATATTTTTATGTTTAATTGCAATAGATTTACATAGGTACATAATGATGATGTTGTAATAATAGTATCCGAGTTGGATTTTTTTAAAGAATGCCAATTTTTAATTTTTATTAGGAATTTATTTACTAAGAAGTTTAAGTATTTTTTTTAAATTAAATATGTTTTATATTGAAATTATAATTTATAGATAATAAGCAAATGGTTAAAAATGAAATTGTAAAACAATAGCAAGTAGCAATTTAATATTATTGACTTTGAAAAGTTTAAATCAATTTCTCTAGGTGTCTAAAGGTAGGAAAGTAATAATGAGTTTGTAGATAGGTCTATTGGGATTAATATCTGATTTGCCGTGAACAAAATTTAATTTTAATTTAATATGCAAATGGAAAGAGTGTAATTTTTTTATACACCTACATGAATATTAATTACGCTAATAACGGTGTTTAAACAATTTTAAGCAAAAAAGTCACATTTTTGTGGCTTTAACATAATACAGATTATCTTTAATTAATTAAAATATTCAGGCTATGTTTCCTTCGGTTTCGACAGAAATACAGTTTATAGCATATTGAATATTAGCACTGAAAGCGTATGATTTACAAGAAGGATAAAATAATTGATGTGATACATAATTTTACAGATGGTATATAATAGAAGCATAACAATCTATGTAATGCACAAGAAAAGAGCGAGAGTACTATCGAAACAAACAACAGCCTATGTAACCTTTAGGGAAGCGTTTCTTCTTGCATCAATTCGTTTCGTACTTACGCAGTGTTAACAGCTGTCTGCAAACCGGTCGCCGACCGTGGCTCCAGGGTGTTTGCATGATCGACAACCATTATCACATTAATACTATATACTAGTAGCTCCACATGAATATTGTGTTTATAGACAGGGTCCCCAGCACTTTTTAGAGATTTATATATTTATATAATTGGAGTCTTCACGAAAAATATTTTTTTCAGTTACTCATAAAGATTATAAATATGATTGTAATAAAAGTTTAGCTTTTTTTTTCAAAAATTGAAAAATATCCATCTATCGTTATTTTATTTCATTTTTATCATAAAATTTAAATATTAAATATAGACCGATTTACATTTTAAACGAGGCAAACTACGAAATGACAGTGTTGGAAACCCTATTACTAATATACAATAATGAAATGTCTATATAAGTTACAAATGGGTTCAAGCTCAAATTTAATTTTTTTATTAAGCTATAATAGGATGAATACTATAATTTTAATTAAATACTTGTGATATTGTAAAATAAATACTTTCTTTGATAAAACACATGATATTAATTACAAATGTGTAATCCAGTAGCTCAGCTATCGGCGACAGCATTTAAAATGTAGTAGCGTACCAATGCCTGAGCGGAGAATATTTTATTTTGAAGGCAACATATAATAAATACGGGTATTCTTACCTCTTCGCTGGTTGACTTGTCGTGACGCGGTGGAGTGGTTGGTTGTCCCGCTTGGCTAAGCAAATCCGGGAGAACGGAGCTAGTCCGTGATCCACTTCCTTCATTCGCACCACTTGATCGGCCCTGCAAGCGTTTCATTTTTGATAGGTGTATGTGTGTGTGCCTGTAATTATATGCTATCACAAAAATCGTGAGTTAGGTATTAATTTTCCTTATGTGGCGCTTGTGCTAATAAATTGTGCAAAATAGACGTACAGTTTTATGATTTCATTCAAATCAATAAACAGAATTTTTTTTTTTAAATTTTTGTTATATTTTGCGGTAAGCAAATAGTGAAAGCTGTCGTTGTTAAATGCAAAAACGTCAGCTATATGAAAAGTATCAGCTAAATTGACAAAGTTACTTAACGCAGAAACTAAGGTAGTGGTGTTTTTTTTTTATAAAAAGGTAACAAATGGGATTAGGTGAATGTAAATAAATGGCAATCTACAAAAACATTTACGTAATACAAACGAAGGGCGGCTGATAAGTACGCGACCTCAGCATTAAGTAGTCATAATCTCGTTACTGACTGCCTCGCTGGTCTAGTGATGGTAATCACGACTGATCATGATGAGGGCTCAAATATGATAATATATAAACATGATGAGGGGCCAATATCAGTTCTTTTTGGTTCAGGGTTTTTGTCACAAAATTCTCAGTAGCAACTCAGTCACGAAGTTGGCAGTGTTTCCGGTGGCGCCTCAGGATCGTAGTTGTATCAAGTTACCGGCCCATCGGTAGACCGATGAGAATGAGGGAATAGAGGGCACTTGTGCTTGCATATTCACTCGTGCACTGTCATCCTGTCCTGCGCAGATAACTAGCCTCCGTTAAATCCGGCGACTGTGACCGAAATAGGGTATTACACCCGTTTTAAAAAATTGTTTTAAATGAATCCTAGAGTTTTTTTAAAACCGAATAGTGTCACTCGTTTACTTTTTATAAAATCTATCATCAATATATATTTTTTGATTTTATTTTACATAGTGTTAAAAACCCTATACGGTCTGGATGACATTACTGATAAAATCAGTTACGAGTAATATTAAATACTATCTTTGAGGGACTCACTTACGTTTTAAATTAACTTCATTTCATTACATTAAAAATTCTTAAGTAATACTAGGTGGTGGTAGGACCCCCTCTCCGGCCCAGGACTCCGTATAGGTAAGTACCATTTTATACTTGTTTCTAGCATTGCTATTGGGCAGCAGAAATCAGTAAAAGATGAGAATGACAAACTAGAGAGGCAGTATGACAAGACATTCCATCTTAACTCTCAGATGTAATGTGTCAATTGTACTCAGGTATCCATAGACTGCAAAACTACGTAGTAGTGGTCTGGCATTTTGTTTATCGGTTACAGTTTTATAAATATATAATTAATATTAAAAACAACGTGTAAATTTTACAGATTGGTTGAGATCAATTTGTATGAAATTCTTTATCGAATGGTAATAGTAATACATGAGACATGGATCCACCAATATAATCCACTCTAAAAGTCAATTTGATAAATAAAACAAAAGAAAAACCACCAAAAATTTTCAATACGGAAAAGTCGGAGATAAAGACAGCAATTGTTTTATGGATTGTGTCAATATTTTATTAATCGATTATGTGTCTCAGAATGTTAAAAATGGCGCTTATTTTTTTGCTCGAATATGTGTGAGCAAAAGTATAGAAGAGATATGGTTTGACCCGCGAAAAATTTTTATGATCCACTTTAGAGTTTAGATCTGGCTCCGAGTGACTTGTGCTTTATTCAAAATAGAAAAAGATAACGGGGTCGAAGATTTTCTGAGTGAGATGGAAACGGTCATAAAAAGCTGTTTTTATGACGCTACATCACAATTTTTAACGGTTTATAAACTTTGTACATTCCATATAAAAAATAAATTTCTCTCTGAAGATAAGAAAAACCTTATTTTTCTTGTTACGTATTCAATCGCGGCAGTAAGTAGGAAAATCGCGATTTATCAGCCGCGCCTTGCAATTACCACTGTTTAAAAATTGAGACAAGAGAACATATATTTAATATCTCTATTCATAATCATGATCATCATTCTGTTTTTCATAAATCCACACTACTGAACATAAGAACTTCAAGGAATGCCGCGAGACACGGCCCTGAACCGCCTGTATCCTGCACGTCTAATGCTCAGTTAAGCTATATTATCGGTTACTCTAATTTTATAGGGGATATTCTAAATACGAAGTCTATCACGCAGAGAAATTGTGAGCATAACCCTCTCCATAGCTCGCTGAGTAGGTCTCAACTTCATAATACTGACAGTAATGAAGGATCACGTCATTATCGGCAGCAATACTTGGTGTACAGCGTAAACTTTTGTTTTCAAGTTTCGAGCAATACGTGACGAGATGTGTCGTAATCTTTCGCATGCTGCCCAACCGAATTGGACTGTCGATTGACCTTACTTAACTTCAAATAAAAATTCAAATATAACATCGTTAATTTTTAAATAAATAGATGAGCCATAATAATTAAAATAAGTGTGAGCTTTACATTATACCCTAAAATTAAAAATTTAAAAATTACTACTAAACATTTGTACTATTCCAAAGGAATTTAGCTTGAATACTAAATTAGGACAGCACACCGTAGTGTTACTTTTATTAATTACACATAACTAATATCTCGGTTTTTCGCAATACAATATTATGGGTTTGCCTTTCATTATTCATATTCATATTTCCAGTTTTCAAAAAATAAAACGGGAACTATGAACAGGTAAATTCCAAATAGCTGTAAATACATATAATTCCTTTACGGCGTGCTGTCGTGTGGTGTTAACTTTTGTGTTGTGCAGGAGTTGCGAGCGCAGCAAAGAGCGACAAACACACACATGATAGCCAAAACATGCAGCTGGAAAACATACATTCACAAAACGAACAATTTATTCTTTTATTTCTCAGCTTCTGTGTGATATCGTTAGGCGTTCATTCCCAAAAATTGTTAAGTGACGTAAGAATTTAATGGCATTGGTGTAATTCTCTCATTCAGCACTTCTCCAATTTCTTGGCAGGAAGACGGTAGCCGCGCACAGATTATAAATTAGAAAAGTTAGTAATATTAGAAAGTGTCTTTGTTAGAGTTAGATGTAGATGCAGCATAGACTACTTTCATGATTTAGGTGAATATATAATATTATGTCGCAAAATGTAACTCAATATAGGCATTTATATTCTACTTTTATAAGGAAATTGATATCACGCCAAAATGTAAGACGTGTGAGCAATTTACTATAATTTCTATAGTTTAACTAATAACTTTTGAAAAAAAAAATTATATTTATAAATATTTATCTCAAATTTATTATAATTAGCTGAATCCATTCCCACACATAAATTACTTAAAACCGCCACACAAATAACTACCAAGTAAATTACAGAACAGGTCCTCATGACAGACATAGCATTACAGGTGTTAGTTTAAAATATGTTAGAAAATTCGTACCCAACCAGAATTAAGTAGTATGTATAGGTATTAATCAAACTATCCCGAGCAGTGAGGAATTACCTGATCCTGTGCGAGTACCGCTTCCTGCCCACAACTCCCCATTACGTCTGTGTTTCGGTTATAGTGACAATTTCTTCGGAATACAATATCCGATTCCGTCTTTTCTCGGCGAGGTTTGACTACATTATTCGAGTCGAAATTCTTATCTTGGGATTTGTTTTCAAGCGTATCAGCTGTGAGATCGAGAGTGCCATTTTTTTCAAATGACGTGCTGCTGCTAAAGCAAATGCTAGTCGACGGAGAGTCACTATTGATGCTACTCTGGCGACTCGCACCATTGTTTTCACTTTCTTGCCTAATCAAAACTGCGACATTTTTTAACGCCTCTATAGGGTTGTTGGCGGATGATTTTTTAGCAACGTTCTTTTTGTTTTCCACTTGCGACATTTTGAGACTGTCATTCATTTTTATGAAGTCTGTTAGTACCGGCTCTCCCGACGTAGCAGGCTTCGTAATTTGCTTACGCGAATGATTAAAAATACCGCTAGATCTTAACTGTTTGTTCACTCCTACTTGATTCTCATGCTTCGGGAAGTAAATAGCAGAATGACGTGTACTTGTTAACGGAAAAAGATCTGAATTCTCACGTCGGAATCCTCTAAAAAATCGGTTTGTAGAGTTTAACTCGGACTCCTGTTCCTTTTTATATTTAAGCATATCTGAAAGTTTCTCTTGAGGTGATTTCTCGTTTGGTTTCTGAATTATCTGCTTGTGGCGAGAAGGCGGTGTCGCGATACCTTTATATTTAACCCAAGCGTCATCCAATTCGATTCTGGACTGCCGCTGCAATTGCGCTCGCTTTTGTTCAGTCTCCTTTGACTTGTCTTGTTTTTCCTCTTTTTCTATGGACTTTGAAGGAAAAAATCTAGCGAAGTCCCAATCCTTCAGCAGAACAGCTTCGTCAACGTAGGATTGCCTTTTATCGCTTTCAGCGATCTCCTTCTGTCGTTTGTCATATAAAACCGATGCAAAAATACACATAAATAATAAGGAATAATTTAAATAAAAGAAAACAAAACTGAGTTCAATGTAGATTTTGCTCACTAATCTTACTTTGGCGTGAAAAAAAAAAACTGTATGACAGTCTTATGGGCAACTGACAAGTCCCACTATATCTTAAGACTATATGGAAAATAGTATAGTAGTAAGAGATGTGATTAAAACTATGTAAAAATACACGTAACCGATAATTGAAACTCATGTGGTTTTTTTTTAAATTTAGTTTTCCATATTTATGGATATTAATTAAAAGGCGGTTTAGGTTCTCGGTGGTAATTTTGCTTAAAATGGATTTACATTTTAACGCTTGTGTGAGCTACAGCAATCCGATATAATACCAATTTTTAACTATCTTAGTGGATAATTTAATTAGATTTTATAATCTTGATATGGTATGATGATGCGACTGGCTAATATTTCGATAGTGTAACTGAAAAAGGATTGTTAAACACTAATTTAATCCGAATTTTGGTTAGGAAATTATATATGTTTGATAAACAACTAGGACTCATCAACAATAATTTTTGTGATTGTAAAGATGTGTGAAGTGCATGCAAATACCGATATATTTCACTTGCATATTTTCACCGAATACAACGGTCTCAGCAGTTACCACGCAATGTTTAAAATTTATATGCTTATATATATATATATATATATATATATAATCTTAAAAAATAACATATATATATATATATATATATATATGTATATTTTTTTAAAGAATATGGGTGACAAACGAGCACACAGCCCACCTGATGGTAAGTGGATGCTGTGGTCAATACACACCTTTAACATAACATAAACACTCACGCCTGTCACCCAGAGGGGTAGGCAGAGATTACGGACTTCCATTTGGCACGATCCTGACATACCTCTTTCGCCTCCTTTACATCCATATATCTACGCATACATGCTCGTCGGTTAAGGGTACTTCTAACGTGGCCCATTTTCAAAATATCGCCAATTTGGTCGACAAACTTTTTTCTAGGGCGTCCCTTCCCGACTCGGCCGTTCACATCTGCCATATAAATTTGCTTTGTCATTCATTCTTTCTACGTGACCAAACCACCGAAGCATTCCTTTCTTAATCCTGGTCACAACATCATCTTGCATACCACATTTATCTCTTATCACGCAATTTCTCACCCTGTCATTCAGATTAAACCCTAGCATATTTCTTAAAGAACGCATTTCTACAGCATTTATTCTACTTTCGTGCTTCTTCTGCCACACCCAGCTTTCACTACCATACATTAACGTAGGGACTAACACAGCATTATGAATTACCATACGTGCCTGTTTTGACACATTCTGGTTCTTCATAATAGAGTGTAGTGCCCCATTCACTCTATTCCCTGCATTTACTCGTCGTTCTATATCCCTATCATATCTACCATCCCTGCTAAATACACATCCCAAATACACAAACTCATCCACTTGCTCAATTAACTCTCCTTCTATTCTTATTTCACATACCGTTTTGCTTTCTTCTCTTTCAAAAACCAACACTTTCGTCTTACTTGCGTTCACTTCCATTCCCCTTTCTTTACACCTTTTTACCTTTCTTTTACACACCTTTATCCTCGATTAATAATCAAAACCATAGAATACTATATATATGTTTTATAGTATTCTATGATCAAAACGCAGATGCGTTGTCACCCCTGAGGACTAAGATGGAATGCCTCGTTTACAGTAAAAAGGGTTTCTGGATCTCTATACTCACCATACGAAATAGCAGTATTAAGCTGCTATTTTACGCTGTTATATTATTATTGCTATCTTGATTTATTTTCATTGTAATTTAAAACCGAGAACCTTAATAGAAGATAGTTTTCTTGCATCAACTTAACAAATATGTGTTTTTGTATTTACATTTTGAAATATAATCTGTATAAAAATTATTAAAGCAGTAATTACGGACGTGTATTTTAAACATAGTTTTTACTAAATGAATACCAAGATATGGACACAGAATGGTTAATCTACATTATACCGCAAACAGCTACCACCCATGTACTCAACAGTAAGAGTCAAATTAGTTATTTAATAAATTGGTGTCCGAATTAATTTTCAAAGTTTTATACTGTATATGTAATATACAAAAGTAATTTATAGTGTGCTGAAATACGTTACAGGCAACTTAATAGAAATAACACGACAAAATTTTAGTTTAACAGGTTCTTTGGATTTCCATTGAGGTATACTTATAATATTATTTTAAAGACGATATAATTTTTTTCACATCATGAGCAAAATTGTTTATGTTTAATATTTAAGAAATTTTTTATCATACTTGGTTCTACAAAATTTTGTAACGAATATTATAAACAAGATATTATATACAGTAGCAGTAGTACTAAATATGAATATTAATTATTCAAACGATTTTTGAATTTAAATCTAAGACAATTTATCTTAAAGTTTTATGTTAAATTGTATGTGTAATAATTTGTATAAAAAAATTGAATAAGATTCTTACAGATCGTTATTAAGTTCTGCATGATCGATTGCTATTAAGGAGACACCGTGAAAAAATGCACCTCCTTTCATCGAATAGTATAAGGACTATGACACCACTAACGTAAGTGGAATTTTGATATAGGTAAATTCATGTCTTTATCTTGAATTTGATTGTTCAAAAACACGATTGTATAATTTTGACTCGATCATAATTATTTGAGAAAACACCTCTAAAAATCACTATAGTTGAAATTTCAACGAAATTATTCAATCTATATGCTTGGGAATCACTCAAATATATTCATAAAATCAATATTCATACTTTACTTGTTCATTATTTTGATTACTTAAATCAATAATTTAAAAAAAAACATTTTAAGACAATTTCTGAGCGCTTTTAATAGTCGCGGGCGCTACGCAATTTTAGACCTTATGACGGCGTTTTTTTCAAGTTTTTTATAGAAATTATGTATTCACTCGGATCAGTACGGCGATAGCCTTTTCGATGTGTCGTCTTAAGACGTTTCCCCTAGCGAAAGCGGCTTTCGGTCCTATACAATCCACGCGCTCTCGCTACAATACATCGCGTAAAGATACTCCCGAATATTTGGAATTATTTCAATTGTAGAATATAGATTTTTAAATTATCTATCCATTAGTGTAATCCTCAAATGATTAGAGCGTTTCCTTTAGCAACAGATGCATGTGTCAATATTTTTAGTCATTTTTTTAAAGTAGATTTTAAATTTATTCATAACACATAAAAACAAATTAGAACGTGGAATGTGATGATAGGATATCGAACATTAATAAGTGCTTTTAGATGTAGCTTATTTCTCATAACTAATGAGATAATAGTCTCTGAAAAACGCACTTTTGCAAGGTTTGGTCAGGGTACCGCCTTAAGTGAATGGCGTGTTCTGATGTTGTAGCGGTTTGCGGTACAATGAGACGGGGTCGTATCGTGTGTTGGCGTGCGCAGTGCGGACTCACCCGCTTCATGACGAGCGTGCGGTCGGGGTGCGCGTCGTCGTCGGGCGTGGGCGGCAACGGGCGCGTGGGCGCGCCGTCCGCCGCCGCGCCGTCCTCGGCCACCGCCGCCAGCCCCGGCCTGTAGCAGAACTCCGGGCTGACAAGCCAAACAAACCAAACCAAGCCGAGGAACGGACGGGGGACCAGGTGCAAAATAACCCGTGGAATGACAGTAAACGAAAATAAACAGCAAAAAAAAATTCAAAGGAAATTTGTTTACATTAGTACAAAATGACAGATTTCTAATATGGTAATGGTTGGAAAAGCATTGTTGCTATGAAATAATCAGGCCGATATTAGTACACAATTATCGCATACCGTCGCTACTACACACGACGTGTAGGACGACAGGTTTTTTTTTATAGGACAGGGTGACAAACGAGCACACAGTCCACCTGATGGTAAGTGGTTGCTGTGGCCCAAAGACATCTACATCTATTCTCGATTACGAATTAAAATGCAGATGCGTTGTCACCCGTGACGACTAAGATGGAAAGCCTCGTTTCCAGTAAAAAGGGTCTCCGGTTCTCTACACTCACCATACGAAACACAGCAGCATTAAGGACATTTTCTGAATGCCCAGTCGAAATAAAACTATGGCATAAAATAAGAAAATTCAATAAAACTGAACTGTGAGATGGACTGAAAGAGGCTTAATTAAGTTACTTTCTTCTACTAACTTTCATAACCTAACACAATTAAGTATTTGCAATAATAAGAATTTTTAAACATAATTTCATAAGAGAATAATGTTAAACTCACAGTGGCTTAGGTGGATCACTGGCAAGCAGAGTACCATCATTGCGAACTCTTCCCCCGCTTTCTTCTGCATCAGAATCGCTGTCAGAGTCTTCATATGGCGGCTCCGGTGGATTTCTTTCCAATGGTGGTCCTAAATGAAATAAATCTTTTAGTAAATAATTTCAGACCATTTACACAATCGTATTTTATCTATGACATTATGTGTATCCAACACTATTCCGATAATATCCCGGACGTCAGTCTAAGCGAGATTAGAATGGCTCTCCAGCACTTTAAAAACGGCAGGGCCCCAGGCGAGGATGGAATTACAGCGGAGCTTCTGAAAGCGGGTGGAACACCGGTACTTGAAGTCCTTCAGAAGCTCTTCAATTCCGTCCTCCATGGTGGCACTACTCCAGAGGCGTGGAGCAGAAGTGCGGTGGCCTTGTTCTTTAAGAAAGGCGACAACGCTCTCTTGAAGAACTACAGACCGATTTCCCTTCTGAGCCGCGTCTACGTGCTGTTTTCGAGAGTCATTACGAATCGTCTCGCACGCAGACTCGACGACTTCCAGCCTCCCGAACAAGCCGGTTTCCGAAAAGGCTCCAGTACCATAGACCACATACATACCCTGCGGCAGATTGTACAGAAGACTGAAGAGTACAATTTGCCACTTTGCCTGGCGTATGTGTACTATGAGAAAGCCTTTGATTCCGTCGAAATTTGGGCGGTGCTGCAGTCCCTTCAGCGATGCCAAGTTGACTGTCGGTATATCGAAGTGCTGAAGTGTTTGTACAGTAGGGCTACGATGGCTATCCGAGTACAGAACCAGAGCTCGAAACCTATCCAAATGCAGAGAGGTGTAAGACAGGGTGACGTTATATCCCCGAAACTCTTCACCGCTGCTTTGGAAGATGTTTTCAAGCTACTGGACTGGAAAGGATACGGTATTAACATCAATGACGAGTGCATCACTCACCTTCGATTTGCCGACGATATAGTCCTTATGGCAGAATCGCTGGAGGACTTAAGCACTATGCTCAATGACCTCAATAGTGCCTCCCAACGGATAGGTCTTAAGATGAACATGGACAAAACAAAGATCATGTTTAATGTCCATGTCACACCTATGCCGGTAGTTGTTGGGAGCACTATGCTCGAAGTTGTTGACGAGTACGTTTACCTGAGACAAATAGTCCGACTAGGTAAGTTCAACTTCGACCGAGAGGTCAATCGACGGATTCAACTCGGCTGGGCGGCGTTCGGGAAATTACGACATATTTTCTCGTCAGGTATACCTCAATCTCTAAAAACTAAATTGTACAACCAGTGCGTGTTGCCAGTGATGACTTACGGATCTGAGACGTGGTCCTTCACTGCTGGTCGTATGAGGACGCTCAAGGTCGCTCAGCGAGCTATGGAGAGGGCTATGCTCGGAGTTTCTCTGCGTGATAGACTCAGAAATGAGGATATCCGCAGTAAAACCAGAGTGACCGACATAGCCCAACGGATTAGTAAGCTGAAGTGGCAATGGGCCGGCCATATAGCTCGAAGAACCGATAACCGATGGGGAAGAAAGGTTCTCGAGTGGCAGCCTCGTACCGGTAGGCGTAGTGTAGGGCGACCCCCCACTAGATGGAGTGACGACCTGGTAAGATATGCAGGAAGTCGATGGATGCAGGTGGCTCAGGACCGTGCTTTGTGGCATTACTTGGGGGAGGCCTATATTCAGCATTGGACTTGTGAAGGGCTGTGATGATGATGATGATGATATTATGTCCAGCAGTGATTTTTATAGGGTGTAATTAATGTAGTTATAAACTTAGTGCGCGATGTTTTTCTGAGCATAGCCTTTATCCACCCTCCGTTTATCGACGAATACGTGATTATTAGCGCCATCTAGCAGAGGAAAGCTGACTGCGAGAGAGACTTTCTTTCTGATAATTCTAATTTGAACCACTATAATCCAATCTGAGCTCGAAATTTAAATGCGTCCGAATAAAATTCGATTGATGTAGAACTCGATTCTGTCAGGCTTGATTCGTACACCTCATCCTCTTCCTAAGAGCAGCTTGCATATCCCAAATTTTCTGTGTTTCTTAAACATATCTTAGCACACAATTTTAGGACAATGTTAAGCAGGTTGACCGCGCTGTAGTTTTTACAGTCTTGCTGTACAAGTTGTTGTTTTTATATAGTGGGAGTATAACGGCATAGCACCAGTCCAAAGATGTTAGCAGTTTTGCCACCATTCCCTCTTTAGCACACAACATTTGTAATGCCGTCATTCTTTTCTATTACGGAATATTTTTTCATTGAAATACTGATTGATCAATGAGCTACATAAGGTTCTATTGATTAAATTAATATCGAATGAGTAATTTGTTGATGACGTGAAAATTTCAATTAACATGTCAACGAATCTCGAATCGTAAAATCTTATACTTTATATCTTCATTTATATTTTCCAAAATATATAGTAACTAGTTAAGTTGGTGTTGGTATTCATGTTTGCTTTAATCGCTTAGGTAGGTGAGTTGAGATGAAAGATTAGAACTGACTAATTTCATAAAACGAATATACCGATCTCGCAGCCTTGATAGATTGGTAGATCCGGCGCTGACGCCTCCAATTGTGTATAATATGCGCCATAAGGAATAATCACAGTGTAGGTTTTTTTTTTCTTTAATAAAAATAACATTAACAACATTTTTCTTTTTTCTTAGACCTAACTAATTTTAGTTGATATAAAAAGTTATCGTTGAATACGTTTTCGTAATTTTATACCTTGTCCATTAGTAGGCGCCCGTGGCGGCCGATTCGGTGGATCATTACCCGACACAACGCCGAGTTCGTTAAGTTGCGCGGCCAGTTTGTCCAAGTCCTGCAATTTACAAATGAGTGATTTAATAAAAAAATATGTTACCTTTATAGCATTAAAAAGAAACAGATAAATGTTACATAAATATAAAATAATTTTTTTAAAAATGAATAACTAAAATTTATTATTTAAATAATATAAAATTAACATACATATAAATAAGAATCTACAAACCTCTGGTCTTCGCGGAGGAAGCTGCAGCAGAAGTTTATTTTGGATGTGCAAAGAAAGTTAACAGCGTGACATGAAAATAAACAAAACAAATAAAGCAAAACTTTTACAAAAACAAACTGTACGATCAACAAATCCACAATTTATATTAGTAATATTTCCCAAGAATTAAACTTTTTTACCAAAACATTTAAAGGTAATAAATTGGTCTATAATATTAAATTTATTGTTTTAGGGGTCCATTTTTAGTTCTTTAATGAACATTTTAATACATAAATAGAATAAACTAATTAAGAAAAAGCATTCTCATCGGTTGCGATTACTAGCGCCACATAGTAGCAGACAACCAATTTGAATTAATGTGCGTTGGCAGAAAAAAGCGCTAGCAAGCGCTTATAAGCGCTGAAATAGTTTTCGGCCAGGACACGATTGCTACTTCAGTAGCGCTGACACAATCCGCCATTTTGCTTATTTAATTTGTTTGTTTTGAAGTAGAGTTTATAAGTTGTTTTGTGCAATATTAGTTTTAAGTAATATAATGACATGAATAAACATATACGTTATTAAAAATTCATGATTGGTAAGTTTTTAATATGAATACTTTACAAACATATTATATTTAAATTAGGTTAGGTTCCCTGGTTAAAACTAACATCGTGTCCTGGAGGAAAATGCTACTTACGATTTGACAGCGCTTACCGCTTACGATCGCCATTTTGCTTACAAGCGCTTGCTAGCGCTTTTTTCTGCCAAACGCACCCATCATTTAAATGTGCTCCAGCTACGGTTTCGGGAGTTCGAAATTTAAAGTTCGAATTTCACTCTGTCTAGAATAGGGCGGCTTATTTTCATGATCAGAAAATGTCTAATGTAAGTGTGGGTACACTATTCTCAAACAAATTTTTCGTGAATTAAATAAACTCTTTATATTTCAAAATAAGAAATTAAAATGTAGTTTGTTACACGTCAACATGTTATTTAGTGTGTGTTCCAATATACACTGTAACCAATGTAAGGTGTGACGTCAATTCAGTATACCGCGCAGCGTTCCTTTTTGTTTGCTATACTGGTTACTGTTTAAAACAGAGCGCAGTCCAGTATACCGTGATCCTCATTTTTCGACACTGTTGTCAAATGAAATTATTTATCGTGTAAACGTATTCTGTTCAACAAGTAAAATTATTATTTGAATGTTGTTGCTTTTAAAACTTAATGGCCGAGTTTATTTGAATAACACTACTAATTAATAATAATAATAATCATTCGTGGAAGCTGATAAACCTCTAGGCGCTGTTGTTTTTTCATCACATGATCAAAGAACTGAGAGTACCATACCTCGAAAACGCCAATGCTCACAATACAAAAATGACAGCGATTTATGACGTTATATATTTTCCTAGGATACTGCTACAGTATACTGGCAGTCCATAACGGAACGGATTTTACACCGGTGAGAGCTCTGAGCACTTGCAGTGCATATCGGAACACAACCTTAGTCTACTATTGTTTCATTCCTCTGTCTGGAGAAGGAACGGAGAAAGAAATTCGGAGGTATCCTCAGTTCTGCTATATTTTGGCGTGTGTGATATGTACAGTAAAATTTACTGAAACATATTTAAGGCTGTTGTGTGCATTGTGAATTAATATTACTATTATAAACTTTCACATAGAAAAATATGCTGATAACGTAATAAAAGTACTGTGTACCATGGGTTTGAACATGTGATGTGAGCCACGCTGCGGCGGTTGCGGACCACTGGCGGGGGGAGTACCGTTGTTAGAGCCGGAGCTGTTCGATGAGCCCGACGATTTGGGTGTGGGGGGTAGAGGCCTGTGGGTAGTGTTTTTATTGCAATTATTAAATTGAATAAAACTAACAAATATATATTTTTTTGCATGTTTGTCTTTTTTTTTCACAAAAATTGTATTCAGTCTTCATTACTTATAAAATCGTAGAGTACTTAAGCTGGCTTATATTACTGCTGTATCAATATTGACGATCTTTTATAACACTTTTATTTTCGAAGTCTATATATGGGAAATAAATATATTTTTTTACCGTAGCAGAGGCTAAAATGGTTCGGGGGTAAATGTGTTTAGAGAAATTAGTAAGCTACATATTCTTTTATTTGAAATTAAATATACATCACAATTAAAGGTAGTACAAAACATTGAATATGTTGATGCAGTTTTTATATCATTTAGTTCATATCAATATCAATGAAAACAGGTATATCATCAAACCTATATTAAAAGAACTGAATGAACTTTGTTTTGAATATATCACTTTTTCATAAAATCAATGCATGTTTATGTTACTAATATTTACTTTTATATAAACTGGTCTTTTGTTAAACAATGACTTTATATTGCTGACTTTAATATCAACAATGTTATTAAAGTCAGCAATGTTTATCGGTAGTTATTATGTAGTAAATGTTAATTTTAATGACAGACTGAACAATGTGTAAAGATAAAATGTTTACCTATATCTATTAGGCTGTTGTGCCTGTGGGTCCGGCACAACAATCAGTCTTTGTGGAATGGATGGCCTTGCTGGTGGGCCAGGCTCTATTGCGGCAAAAAACAACACTGAATTAATTAATGCAATTTGTAATAAAATAATAATATAATATACTAATGTAATAAAACAATAACAAACAGTATAATTTTTTAAAGCATTTCAGAAATTATGATAACTATTAAAAATTAATAACCAAATAAAAAAATGAAATGCTTTACAGGTGACTTATAAATTTACTAGGTATACCAAAACCAACAAATGTGTAATAAGTCTATTAATTTATATATTGAGACATAAACTTAACCTTAAATCCATGGAGGTATATATATATATATATATATATATATATATATATATATATATATATATATATTCTTCTACTACTTCTACGTCCTTTCATTTCGCATTATTGTAGTGTCCACCACTTGTAGGCAATTTTTATACATTATGACAGCGAATATTGGACCATTAAACAATTTCAAAGATAGTGCTCATTGATGCATTGGTGCATCAAAGATAGTGATCAACTCATTTCTTTGAAAATTTACCATGTGTCGATACACAAATATTCGTATATTGCCAGACGGAGGGAAACCAATCAGGACTCCCTTCCATATTACAAATTATCCAGAATCCCCGTAATATACATAGTTTTTAATTCATTCTCCTGCTAAACGCAATTCCTTTGTATGGTGCGACGTTGCCACTCTTATTAGTTATTCCGCTTTGTAATATTTTATTTATAGTAGGTGATATTTTCTTTATGTAGTTATTCGATAGATTCCTATAGTCTGTGTTTTTCGCAGGAAACAAAAATAACAGATCTTTATTAGATTCGTTTAGCACGAATAATACAGTTTTTTTGATTCTGATTCAGATTAGATTTAATTTTAGTCACTTAAGTTTCGTATATTGTTCAAAATAATGAAATAAATCCACAGAATGTGCAGTTACGAAAAATACGCCATATCATTTTTATCTCCGGCGAAAAAAAAAGACCAGATAGATACCACGATTAATTTACCAACTAGTTATTCGTTTACTAAATACGAAAAAATATCTAGGATTGCCCAGCCGTAATACATTATAGATTGACTATATTATTATTTATTTTACTATTGTAAATAAGTACTAATTGTAGATATTGACAGGTTTAATAGAAGTCCATTTTCTTATATTGTGACTAATAACCTAATATGACCTTGGGAAGGAACTCATTTTAATATAAGGTTTTACTGCATTAACTGCCAATGGGTAGTAATTTTTTACAATAGACCGTGGCGTATTGTTGCTGACATGAATAACTCCGAAAATATAATTTATTTACTTGATTGTATTGAGTTTTGGTGCTCTCACAGCGAGTTTACTTTTTATGATCACTATCTTAAGGATGAGTGCAAACTATTTACCTAATCTGTACAAAATTACTCTCTACTTAACTAGATTCATTTTTGTGAAAGGCTATTTTTGTTAAACCGAACATAATATCATAATATTATGTTTGGTTTTGCAGTTAGTTGAAATACAATTTGTTTGTGTTGTTATAAATATTGGACGCTATATTACTAAAAACATGCATATCGTGCTCTAATTGGCGTCCGTATTGTGACCTACGCACATTGAGAACTTTACACGCTTATGCTTGCTTGCATTTAAGTTTCTTTGGTTATATTTATATGTAACTTAGGTAAATAAACTTGAGTAAGTTGATTAATGTACTTGACAAGGGCATTGAACGGAGTATTCACTCATATACGGACGTAAGAATATCCTAAAAAAATATTCACGTCAACAAAAACGTACTAAGTTTTATTTGACGTCCACTTCTTCGATATCCGATGTCCAAAGTTGTTGTTGATTATTGCATTTTACTATTTATTTGTGTTGACTATTTATTTAGTGCTCAAGGCACATTTTGGTATTTTTGTCGGTTTATACTGTACTCAGTGCTAGTAGATAATTTTACTTTCCAATTTGTTTTCGTGTCCTTAGATTTAGCTACATATTATAATAATATGGACGTCCGAATATCCTAAAACATTCATACTGAATGATATTTGACGTCCATATTTGTGAATTTTGTTATATTTCTACATGTGGACGTCAATTATCGGTAAAGTTTCATACCGCACGATATTTGACGTCCATATAACCATGAATATACACTTAGCGGCACAATTAACCGCCCACCCTTTTAAAGTGGCAAATTTTGATGTTATCGCAGTTGTAAGTTATTGGGCATAAATAAGTCAAGTGTGAAAGAAATGTAGTGACGAAAAAATTACAAGCTACCCACTTAACTTTGCTTTTTAAGCATAAGTTGTGAATAGGACAAATATCGAACTTCATCTCATTATCGTTATCGTTGCCATACTGCTTACATTGCTTCAGTGGCATTAAAAGTAAACAATTTGAGTTTGTTTTGGTTTCGTAACTTAAAGCTAGTGTTTGGACATCACAAACATGCCATTTGATGCTAATTCAGTGGCGAGAGCCGTCGCTCTTATCGACGAAGGGTTTAGTCAGCGTTACGTGGCGCGGAAGCTTGGTGTCGCACGTACCACCTTAAGGGATGCAGTGAAACGGTTTCGGGAAACTGGCTCTTATGAGCGAAGACCAGGACAGGGCCGAAAAAGTTGCACATCCGCTCGTGACCAATGTTCTAAGAAATCGGTTCACTACAGCTGTTGAGGCACGAAACCAACTTCGTGAGGTTCGCAATGTAAGTGAGTGAAAGAACAGTGAGAAGAAGACTAGGAGAGAATGCCCTTGGAGCTTTTCGACCATCTTGAGTGCCACAATTGCTCGTAGGCCACCGGAGAGAAAGACTTCGTTTTTCCCGAGAGCACGCCGAATGGAATATGGAACAATGTAAGAATGTTATGTTTACTGACGAGACAAGAATATGCTTGCACGGTCCTGACGGTCGTCCAGCGTGTATACAGACGCAAGAATGAAAGGTTTGCACCATGTACTGTTGTGGAAACAGTAGGTTACCAAGGTCTCTATCATGATATGGGGCGGCATTACTTACGAAGCACGCACCGACTTGGTTATCTTCGAAAGAGGTGGAATAAATGCTCAGAGGTATGTAACAGAAGTATTGGAACTTCATGTAATGCCATTTGCTCCATTTATTGGCGAAGATTTTTTATTAATGCAGGACAACGCTCGCCCCCACGTTGCTAGAGTTGTTACCGCGTACCTGGATACCGTCGGCATTCGAAAATTAACATGGCCATCCCGGAGCCCAGATTTAAATCCTATTGAACACATATGGGACAATTTAAAAAGACGTGTTCGAAGCCGCATACCAGCTCCAACCACCATAGATGAATTAAAACAATCCGTGATTGAGGAGTGGCAGAACATTCCACAACAACAGATCAAAGATGTCATCGACAGCATGCCAAACCGTTTGATGGAAGTCATGAGGGCTAGAGGTGGAAATACGCACTATTAGAATTCTTTTATTCAGCAGATTTTTTTATTTTTAAGCCATTTCATCACATTTGTTAACTTACGGTCAAAGTGTTTTTCAGACTTTTTATAAATAAACGTAATAATTAAAAACAATATTATCTTTCATTTTACTTCAATATACCTACGTTATAAAATAACATTCACAAGTAAGGCCACAATGTTTTTTTTTACCAAAATCGTAAAAAATCAAGGTGGGCTGTTAATTGTGCCGCTGAGTTTATTTATATTTTAATTTCTTGTATAAGACACACATTAATGATCATTACTTTAATGACATTTTTCGCTATTGTTTTATTTTTATTTTAGTGTAGGGAGCCCATGCGGTATGAAATAGTCACTTTGGTGTCTCATACACCATTCTAGAAACGATGAAACGCTTAGAAAACCTTTTTTTATTTCTTTTTTGATAAATATTGCCGTTTGTAGCGGTTTATAGGGCAACGTGTGTGCCAAAATTTCAACTTTAAATTACTACCTGTGTACACATAATAATATGGACGTCCGAATATCCTAAAACATTCGAACTGAATGATATTTGACGTCCATATTTTTGAATTTCGTTATATTTCTATATGTGGACGTCAGATTATCGGTAAAGTTTCATACCGCACGATATTTGACGTCCATATAACCATGAATATATTTATATTTTAATTTCTTGTGTATAAGACATACATTTATGATCATTACTTTAATGACATTTTTCGCTATTGTTTTATTTTTATTTTAGTGTAGGGAGCCCATGCGGTATGAAATAGTCACTGTTTCATAATATGCTCCATTCTAGAAACGATAAAAAGCTTAGAAAACTTTTTTTATTTCTTTTTTGATAAATATTGCCGTTTGTAGCGGTTTTTGGGGCACTATGTGCGCCAAAATTTCAACTTTAAATTACTACCTGTGTACACATAATAATATGGACGCCCGAATATCCTAAAACATTCATACTGAATGACATTTGACGTCCATATTTTTAAATTTTGTTATATTTCTATATGTGGACGTCAGATTATCGGTAAAGTTTCATACCGCACGATATTTGACGTCCAAATAACCATGAATACATTTATATTTTAAATCCTTGTGTATAAGACACACATTAATGATCATTGCTTTAATGACATTTTTCGCTATTGCTTTGTTTGTATTTTAGTGTAGGGAGGCCATGCGGTGTAAAATAGTCATTTTGGTGTTTTATAAAATCTTTCGTTCTAGAAATGATAAAAGGCTTCTAGAAGCTTAGAAAACGTGTGTGAAAAATTTAATTGTATTTCAAAGAACTGCAAAACCAAACATAATATCATAATTTAACAAAAATAGCCTTTCACAAAAATGAATCTAGTTAAGTAGAGAGTAATTTCGTACAGATTAGGTACAATAGTCGCACTCATCCTTAAGATGCAGCGAGAGCACCAAAACTCAACACGATCAAGTAAATAAATTATATTTTCGGAGTTATGTCAGTAACAATATGCCACGGTCTATTGTAGAAATTAACAACCTATTGGCAGTTAATGCAGTAAAACCTTATATTAAAATGAGTTTCTTCGCCAGACCATATTAAGTTATTAGTCAGAGGTTATTAGTCACAATATAATAAAACAAACTTCTATGAAACCTGTCAATATCTACAATTGAGCCATCTTCCTGTACTCAATCAGAAGGTAACTTATACTCAAACAGAATTATGGGTTGCTTACGAAATACCTAACAAGAGTTCTTTTAGGCAGATTAGTACCAAATGTAAAATGTTAAAATATAGTGCAGCATGAAATAAACCGATAAGCCGACGTCCGCATCTACATTTATAAAAATATAACTAAATTCAAAAATACGGGTGTCAAATATCATTCAGTATGAAAGTTTTAGGATATTCGGACGTCCATATTATGTGTAGGTAAATGTAAGGTTAAGAAAAGAAGTTTAAAAGTAAAATTACTAGTACCAAGCGCAGTATAAACCATATAATAATGCCCTGCAGATCGAATTACTGTTACGGCGGCCTGCCTCAACAGAGACTAGCCATCGGCGCAGGACAGGATTATAGTGCCCAAGTGTATGCGCAACCACAGGTGCACTCTCTATTCCCTCATTCTCATAATCCGATGGGACGGTAAACCGACACGACCGGAGAGAGATCAGGCGTAGGACCAACGGCTTTACGTGCTTTCCTAGGCACGGGGGTGATTCACCATCAACTTCCTGACGCCGGGCAACTATTGAGAATTTCTTGACAGAAAAACTCAATAGTTGATTTTTTGTCCCGACCCGGGATTCAAACCCAGGATCTCACGATCAGCAGTCGCACTACTACAACCACTAGACCAACGAGGCAGTCATAACCATATATCACCAAATACAAGTAACACGTTGGCAACGGTGACGGAACGGCAACGTCGCATCTCCTAATTTTGTGCGGAAGTCAAATACGGCCATAGATGAAAGTATTCACAAATCGACCGCAGCGCTATTATTTTTGCAACGAAAGTTAGCGGAACTACGTAAATATTCAGTACAGCAAGTCCAATTTTTTTTTAGATTTTGACATTTCTGTGATCAGCATGACAATTTGCGAACATTGCCCTAAGTCTCCTATTTGACGTCCGTATATTGGACGTCGTAAGCAGGTTGACGCCACATTATATGCAAAATTGGCCATAGTGGACGTACAATAAGTTACGGGATGTATATATATGTGTCTGGGCAAACGTGTTCACTGATAAAAAAGGTACCCTTAATTTTGCATCCCTTGCCGACTTATTTATATATTAATTTGATTCGTACTTTTTGTTTATTCATTTATTTACACATATCAAGTTAAAAATCTTAATCATTAGATCGCAACTTAATTGTTTACGAATTTATAATTTGTATGTGGTTTATGTCAATTAAGTGCGACACTAGGTTGAGAAATAATACATATGAATTTAATTTCTAATTATAAATGATTCAAACTACTTTTACGGATTTTATCGCGTTTATTGATGTTATTTTTAATACCCGACCTTTCGGGTGCTTTCCAGCATCAATGGTAACAGGGGACTGAGGTGACTGACGTCCCAATGTCTACACAGAATGAGCTAAACGTAGATCGGACCAAAGACAATAATGAAAAAGCTGAAGGTACTCTGGTTTAACTTTGATATCGGGACGTCAGCCACCTCAGTCCCCCGTGACCATGGGTGCTGGAAAGCCCCCGAAACGTCGGGTATTAAAAATAACATAAATAAACGCGATAAAATCCGTAAAAGTAGTTTGAATCAATGTATAGTGTTCGCGTAAATATAAGAAATCATTATAATTATAATGTTAGTGTTGCATTACCCGGAATTTCCTCTCGCTCCTCGCGTTTACTGTTTCTTTTGGGTGGAGGTTGCGGTTGACCTTCTGCACCAGCACTAGGATTTGTGGAAAATTATTGTTTCAATATTTGTGCAAAATTATTGTTTTAATGTCCAATGTATCAACCCCGATTGAAGAAGTATTTACTAACCTTCCTTCTTGTATTTGTTGGAAGTTACGTCTTAATGTATCACTAGTCTGATGTGCAGCGGCATTATGCACAATGGAAGATGGTTCACCTGCTACCGCATTATCTTCTTCTTCACCTTCTGAACCTGAATATTTGTACTCTTCTCTCACTGAGTTGTCTTGCTTTCTCTTTTTACACCTATCTATGTGATCTTTAAGTTGTATTCTAACTTGTCTTTCCGTTGGTTGATCCCTGAAAAATTAAATAATTATACAACAACAAAACATTTTTCTGCTATTTATAATAACATTTTCTTCTTGTTATTTACTTAAACATATTATAATTTATCTTATTACTACTATATAATGGTCCTTTTATTAATTTAAATTATTAGTTATCAATATTTGGAGATTGCAACAGATGCACATTGTTGTACCTTATAAAGGGATGCTTAAGAAGTTGTTCAGTGTAAGGTCGTTGATGATAATCTTTCACAAGCACAGTTTCAATAAAACTGTGAAACTTCTTTGCCCATTTTTTAGATTTTAAACGGGGCGGCGGGTTCCTGAAATTTTGCAGCCAAAAGATTAATAAAGGCAAAAATGGTAATTACAAATTGTGTTTTCAATGAGCTATAAAATAAACCCACAATTAAGGAAGTGTTAATGAAAGTACCTTGGAATAAGGAAAAGTGCTCTCATAGGATGAAGATCACAAAGAGGTGGTTGACTTTCAGCCATCTCAAGGGCAGTAATACCAAGAGACCAGAGGTCAGAGCGATTGTCATATGTGGCATCAGGGTTCTCATCACATGCAATTACTTCAGGTGCCATCCAATATGGTGTACCAATAAATGTGTTTCTCCTACCAATTGTTCTGTCTAGTTGTGCTGATACACCAAAATCAACTAATAAAAGAAAACAAAGCAATAAATAAGTTAGGACTTACAGGAAGTACTATCTAGTATTTATAAAATATATTTAAAATTATAGGAATGATTTGTATTACCAAGTTTTACTTCAGCATTATCAGTAAGTAAGACATTCTGTCCTTTTATATCTCGATGAATAACTTTGTTAGAATGTAAATAGCTGAGACCTCTTAAAATCTCCCTGCAAATGTATGAAATCCATTCTTCTTTCAGTGATTGGCCCTTAGTTGATTTTACTAAATCAGTCACAGATCCTATAAAAGTTAAGGATAAAAATATTTCATTAATATTTAAATTTAATAATAATATATTTATAAATTGCAGATGCAAACACAAACTCATAGACATATAAACTGCATCAACATATTTAATTTCCTTTATAAAACTAATCCTCAGGCTATTATTATCACATTTAATTTTAAATTATTTTTAATTTCTAACTCAAACTATTTTACAGCATCCATAGCCATGAGAGAACTGCAGTGTTCAATATTGTGATAAAATAGTTAAACTTGCTTTAAATTATTAATTTTTTATTCAATTAATGCAGAATGAGCTAATAGCATCATGTCTTGCGATGGGATAATATCTAATTCTAATATATGCTTAATTTTGGATTAACTTTTTTACTTTAGAATTTCACCCGGAATATTGAAAACAAGAGGAAGCGCAAAGTGGGCGGGGTGCGCATGACACATAAGCACAATACTGCTTACTTAATGAAGGCTTATAATCTTATGCTCTCCAGATGTCGCTAGATAGAACTAAGGTCACCTTATTTGTTACGCATAGGGTTGCCAGGTCTTTAAACCGAAAAGCCGGACAGAGCAGCGAGCTTAGCCGGACATTTTGGTAAAAAGGTTTTTTAATTTAAAACAATGCATTTTATCATTTACCATAAAATCTTAAATTGTAATGAAATAACAACAATTGAATAAATCAGTGTTCTTTATTATTAATCATTCAATATTCATTACAATATTAATTTCAATAATTGTTGTAGTATGTGTGTAAGTACATGAAAAATGTAAATAAATGGTCAAATTTAAAAAGCCTAACAAAAGCCATACAGGCCTGTCACCGTCTAATTTGGCCAAAAAGCCTGACTGTGTCCGACTTTATTTGGACATCTGGCAACGCTAGTTACGCAAATGTTCACAGTGTCATTACTGCTACGATTTAATTATAAATCTTTCGGTTTCTAGTGTATATATACACGAAACAATGCCTCAGTACTATATTTTTTAATTGTTTACACATTTTTAACTTTTTTAAATATTCTACTTTTAGCAATATGCTTGGTTAATCTATTTCTAATATAACTAATTGTGATAAACTCAGAAATGAGGAAATCCACAGCAGAACTAGGGTAGCCGACTAGCCCAATGGATTAATTTTAATTAGTAAGCTGAAGTGTCAATGGGCCGGCCATATAGCGCAAATAATTGCACGCCATTAAAGAAAGGCGACAAAGTCAATTGCAGGTTATATTATCTTGAGCTGACATGTCGCTACTTAAGAGGATACCTTGAAAATGAATCGAAGTTTTGGGGGCGTGGCTTATTCCTTTGTCGGTGAAGCTAACGGGCGACTGCGGGAGTGTCAAAATGAAAGTGATGCAATGAATTCATAGTACGCAAATTATGAGATAGCCATACCGAGCAAGTGCTCGGAAAAAAACTAAATAAGCGCCAAACATTTTTATTTATTATCACAAAACTTCGTTATGGATTAAAAAACTGGTTTATGAGAACTTAGATATGATAATATTCTATGCCTTAAAAATAATTCCATGAAATTATTAGTAAGAATATTGTGGTGTCATCGAGAAATGTAAATAATTAGTCTACTTTGCAATTTTTTTTCTATCGAGAAAATTACATGATATCGTGTTTTCCTTTTATGCAATCCAAGATCATATAGTCAAAAATCATATATAAAAATTTTGGTTTGTAATCTATAAAACTTTTAAAGTTGCTAAATTTATATCCATAATGTAATAATGATTACATGAAGAACAGGTTGCTTGTATGTATTACGTCATGTAGTTTTTCGAGTAGTAGGTAATGTACGGCAAAGCCACAAAATAAAGCCAATCAGCATTGTGCATATAATATATGCATCATATAATATAGCATGAAGTTATTATTGCATCATCTCACATTGAGTACCTAGCTAATTTTGCTAGTCAATCCTAGAAATTATCTAGATTTAAAGAAATATGATTTCTGTTTAGAAAACCTTACGGTTTGTACTAAAGCTGATGAGGAGTATATAAAAGATTTTCTTTATAACCAATTACGAGAAAATTATTAAAATGTTAGATAATTGTCGGTACATATTTCTTTCTTTGCGCGTGTGTATGGCGACAATGGTTCTAGTACAAATTATGCACTTTGCCACTTCCCTTTGTTTTTAAATAAATCTTGGAATCTCAAGTATTCATGGCACCCATCATAGCTGTATTTAAATTTAGTTTAATTTTTAATTTAAATAACTTCATGAATCATCTTTAACAGAAATCAATTGCAATTGATAAAATTAATTTCGAAACATAAATTTCGCAATTCTTCATATTTGTTGGTTATGGTGGTGAAGATTTCGAAGCCACACGCAAGATGTTTCGTCAACGTTTCATCGAAGTATAGCGGCAAAACTAAATCTTAAACGCGAAATTACAGCATTGAACAATTTATGAAACAGATTAGAGCTCACTATTTTCAGCGCAGATATAGGACAAGATATGGTTATTACATAGAATACTATAAAACATACATAATAGAACGGGGGAGTGGATTCAGTGTTGTCGTCTACAGGGCATATATATGCCATGCAGGTCTCGGGCCTCGGGGTATGCCCCCATTGCCCGGATCTTCCTCATGGCCCACAGCTATGGGCCAGTCCTGGGAGCCTTTTCTAGGCATGGTTGGTCTCGGCGGATTAGTCCGCAGTCAGAATTTTTTCCGTAGTCGGTTAAACTACGAGAAAAAAAGGAGGTTATCAGTTGAGGTCGAAGTTGGCCTATCTGCGGCATTGTGGATTTTACTCGACTCTCTAATCTATATAGAGAGGAGTTCTCTTGGATAAGGTTGCCCGTCCAGGGGCCGTGTGTGCAATGGCGCGAAGCCGTTGAGGTGTTCGTGTGGCCCGTTGTCGGCGCGGTCGAACATGCCGCGCGCCAGCCGGGCCACGAAGTCTGTGGTGGTCTCGACTTTCAGATCGGCCGCTATGACGTCATTTCGGACGTAGCGACCTGCTCCGACGATCGTCCTTAATGTCACGTTCTGCTGGGCCTGCAGTCGCCGCCTCAGAGGGTCGCTCAGAAGCGCGTACCAGGCCGGAGCAGCGTAAGTAATTATGGTACGAATGTACATTTTGTACAATTTGAGCTTGGTCTTGGTTGGCAACTTGGATGCCAGGACTGGCAAGAGCGTCGCCCGCGCACATCTGGCTCTACGGGCGACGAATTCGACGTGCGCGGTCATGCGCAGCGTCCTGTCAATCCGGCACCCAAGGTAGGTCACGGCCTTCTCGTACGCGATCTTCTGGCCATTGAGGATCAGCGGAGGTGGTAGATTTCTGAGACGGCGAGTGAGCAGAGCGGTCGTCTTACCAACGTTGACGACCATCCTCCCCACTCATCTAGCCATGGTGGCATTAGGTCCAGCAGAGACGCTGCATTCTGGCAGTGGCTATGTGGGCTCTTCTGGACGAGGTGAAATAAGCGCTATCGTCCGCATATAACGCCAGCTCCACGTCGTCCTCCCACTCTTGCAGCCTTCCTGCCAGTGTTGGGATGTCGTTAGTGTAAGCCGCGTACAGGACTGGAGACAAACAGCTGCCCTGTGGAACGCCGGCTCTGATGGGTCTTGTTGCGGACTCGGCGTCCTCTACGCAGACGTAGAACTTCCTCTCTACCAGGAAAGACGCCATTAGCCGCAACATAGCAAGAGGGACACTGGTCTGTTCGTGCAGTTTATAAAGTACGACGTCACTGTACTAGCCACACCCTGTCAATGCCTTCTCATATCGAGAAAGACGCCCAACGATATGCGGCCACTGTTGTATTCTGCCGCAAGCAGGTGCAGCACTCTAGTCAGTTGTGTGACTGCAGAGTGACCCCTCCTGAATCCGTGCTGCTCCGCCCGAAGTTGGATGCACGGACGGAGACGTCTTAGCAGCAATCTTTCTAACAGTTTAGCTATGTGCGGTAATAGAGTGATCGGCCTGTAGCTGGCAGCTCTACGCCTGTCCTTCCCGGGTTTCGGCAAGACGATAACTCTGCATTTTTCCAATCCTCCGGGAAGTGGGATGTCCGCAGTATCCCATTGTAGAGTCGACCAAGCTCTACCAGGACTCTATTGGGCAGCTGTCGGAGTGCAGCGTTGGTAATCCCATCGTACCCCGGCGCCTTCCTCGGTTGCAGGCGGGTTACTGTCCTCCGCAGTTCAGCGGGGGAGATGAACCACTCTCCTGCAAGCGGTGGCGCGGGCGACGATAGAAACTCCTGTACGCGACTCTCCTTCCGGGCATGAAGCTCCATGAACTCCGCACTTGCTGGGTTCGACATAAATTGCTCCTCGAAGTGCTCAACTAGGATATCCGCTCTGCCCTTGGCATCGTAGCAACGTTCACCCGCGCTGTTGGTCAGCGGGCAAACGGGAGGTCTGGCTTTGATCAACTGTCAGTTCAGTTTGTAGAGCGACGCGTCTTGCTCTTCTGCTTTCCATATGCGCCGCTCCCAGGCCTCTCCTCTGTAGGCCTGGACTGCAATCGACAGTTCCTCCGACAAGGTGTTGAGTTGTGTTTTCAGTCTAGGGCAGCGAGTACGCGCCCAGAGCTTCTTCAACGCTCACTTGCGCCTGATCCGCACGCATATCTCTCGCGGCAGATCGTCTCGCCTTGCTGTGATCGGGACGATCGTAGAGGCCGCATGGAGGGCTTCCTGGATGTTCTTGGTTAATCTGGTTGCAGCGGCCTCTACGTCGTCCGCTGTGATTATGGGATGGTGAACTGGAGATCTCACCCGCAGGTGTTGATAGTAGTGCCTCCAGTCGACACGTGTCTTGAATGCTCTGGGCGGCGTAGTCATCGCCTTTAGGCCAAGGGTGATCAGAATCGGGAGGTGCTGTGAGTTCAGGTCGTACAGCACCTCTACCACTATCGGGTAGTTGACGTTCCTAGAGAGCACGATGTCCAATACATCCGGACGTTTCCGTGGATCTGTCGGAACGTGTGTAGGTTCTTCGGGACC